TGGTTTTGTTTTTATCATGATGAAAAACTAGAAAGGGAAGCAGTCCATGGAAACCAAAATCATTAACCCTGGCACACTAGTTTTGTGGTTGTAGATGTTTGGTATTATCAAAATGATTTTTTTGGGGTCAGCTGGGTGACACATGCAGAAACTCTTCCCCCCCCAACACACATGATGAATGAGGAAACATTACTCAATAATCAACTGCAGATTATTTCCCAATAAACTTGCAGTAATGATACCAGTCGTTAATCCTCTGGTGTGAAATTCAGGGTCACATATCAGTGACATTGGATATAGTATGCTGATAGCTGGCATGTGCAATAACAATAACTGCCAGTATGGGTAAAAAAACAAACTGACCAAGCCTCCACAACAAATGAAAATAACATTAGGACAATTACTAACACAAGAGAACGGCTTCAAGGTTGTAAAACAATCTTGGGTTCAGGTGGTGACTGTAGCAAACCGCAAAAGCTTGACTGTTTTGTTTAGATGACTTGAATCATTTCACCAGATTATTACTTTATTACTTGTGGGCATTCATTAATCTCTCGTTATTTATTTTGCAATTCTCTCAGTACACTTTTGCTCATAAAGGTGAGGGATGACAGTGCTGAGAACTGGAGTTATCCTTCACCTGTGTGAATGATCACTGTACGGGGTAGTTGAGTGCTGCTCACTCCCACGTTTGTTTTAATTCCACAGATAAATTGCATTGTCTTTCTCATGAGAAGTTGAAACCAGACCTGACCACTGATAAATAATTGGTCATATGCAAAAAGACCTCTAACTTACCCTCCTTATTATTGCTAGCTATTTTCAACTGGTAACATCCCAGCAGCAGCACTCTTGACCAGTAGAGAAGCTTCATGCTGCTGTGATGGGAACAGTAGCACATTTTTCCAGAAATGATGATCAGATACATAGGAATAAATTATCCATTTCACACCCGCTGACTCTTAATGCCATTACACATCAGATGCCAATAATTAACACTGTCCTATTCATTTTTCCCTTAATTAGGTTTAACAAATGCCTAAACCAGTTACTGGAAAATGAATACCATTGTGAATTATTCACCAATAATCCACCCTCCCTTGAAGAATTTTGCCCAATAAAGGGAATTACTGTCACCGCCCAGTACATCTGGAATATAGCATTTAACTACAGTAAGGATAACTGCATGTTGTTCGCAATGTGCTTTATTGATTTTAATAAGATACTTCAACAGACAGGTATGAAAGAGCCATTGACGGCTCCTATCTTGCCTTGTGCACCTCAGAGGCTTGTTACACAGAGCTAGGGCACGTGCTTGCAGCAGTCTGACAAGTGTGATGAAAAGGTCTTTCTTAACTAAACTCGTAAACCACAGGGTAATAAAACTCAATCTTCTGTAAAATCCAATTAAGTCATTATCTGACTGATTGTATCTTTAATTGAAAACAGAAGTGACAGTAAATTTCTGTGATATATCAGGATCAATCGATACTACCATACAATTTGGTCTCAAGAAGTGATTTATAATGTCAGACCTATATAGGTAACTCAACATTATTCTCCCTAAAACCACTGGTGGATGAAATTAAGAGTAAGTGCATTTAATAAAAAAACAAGATGGCCAAGTTATTGATTACAATGGATGTGGTGAAATCAAAGAGACATTTTTAATGCACAAAGCAAAGAAAATACAAGTATTTTTTTTCTATTCAGCATCAAATATATACCTGCCAAAATATTCAATTCAATTTAATTGAATACTGTATACAACCTCAATGCTTACAATCATTTCATCACAAATAATCCTTTGAAAGGACAACAAACGTATAACACACAACCAAATTGTTCAAAAAACAAACAACTTCAGCAAAAATGATTACTGGTTTAGTAACAGTAAGCAAGGCATCATTTCTTCAAGATTTCTAATGAGAACAATTCAGGTTTTTTTTACACTGTTTGTAAAAATAGTTAAAATTGGGTGAAGTTGTTAAACAGTGAAAATATTTGTCATATCAGGTTACCCTCCTCTACACCCCCCCACCCCCCACCACCACCCGAGGAGAATTTTGCAGAGAGTAGGTTGCATGATATTGTTTTATTTTACAGTTGTGAAAAGGAGGCAAACACAGACTATCTTCCCGTCTGTATCAGATCATCAGATCGTGTTGGAGGTGGATTTTCCGCGCACATCAGCGGTTACCAGCAGGATTCAGTATTTACAAATCCTTTGCAAATCCAGATCACAATTCCCATTTCAACACCCTATGGTTTTCCGATTTGATAACTGGGGAGGGGAGGGAGGGTGTAATCATTTCATCCACTTCAGGGAGGAAAGAAAAAGAGGAGAAAAAACCCATCAGGATCAACCTCAAAAATGCATGCCTTAACATTACATTTAAGTAACAATTTTACAAATGAGCAAATTTTAAAGTTTTGCTGCTTACAACACGGGTTTTTCACCCAACATCAAAAAGAAACCAGCTCATACACCAGATAGTGAGTCGTTTTAATGAGGCAAAAGGTATATCATTTAAGGAACCCAATTGGCATTCAGCTTTACAGGACAGCAGGGCTTGCTCCTGATCTGCAGGCCACAGAAAATACTCTGCCAGGTGAGCCTGTAGGTTAGGAAGAAAATCTGCTGTGTTTTTATTGGCAAAGTAGGAATGAGAGAAGCGCTCTGTCCACTCAGTATGCAGTTGGTTAGACTGAAGCTTGTATTTCCTGTCACTCCTTCCTCCTAGCCCCAGCCAGTTCTTGGCATGGCGATATGGATCTGTTGCTGGCCTTGTTTTGTCGCCACTCTTTCTCCTCTCGCTTCCAGCCTGACTGTTTGCATGACAATATGTTGAATGTGGACAGAATGACATTTTCATGCCACACAAACACACATAGCCTGACTCCGCAGCACACTGTACATGGACAAATGTAACAGGTTTACTATTACATTTCGTCGTTTATTTGATCCTGGGAGAACCTTGAAGATGGTGAGTGGCTGGATTAAAGTTGAAGATTAAAACACACAGTGTGTGTGGGGGGCGGGGGCGCAGTTTGAAAAAAAACTTTAAAAACACTGCAGTACCTTAAAGGTGATTAAGATGAACAAGAAGTGAAAGTGAAAGAAAAACGGGAAAAAAACATCCCACTTGAACACTGCTTTTCTAACATTCGCATTAATACCATGCAAAATATGGAGCTGTGCACTACAATTCACTGGATTGGTTTCACTTGGACTGTGTTCATGTCTTGAGAAGATTGGAACTGAATGGACTTCCTGTGCCAATTTGTTCTGAATAAGTTGTAACGTAACTGAATGGTTACATCCTTTTTACACTACGGTGCACAAAGATAACTAAAAACAAGCCAGGCCTACTGATGATGGGAAGCAAGTCGTAAATCAAACCTCCTCCAGAACAAGCCTACGAACTAAGCTTTGCGCAAGTTCACCTGCAAACTGTAATCCATTCTTAAAAAGACTCACTATACGGTAGTATTGCAAAATAGTCGTAATTCTCACCTGCCACCCTGAACTACTGTGGTGATAAGTCTCCAGAGGGCAAAGGATCAGTGCTTTCAGCATTTGCTTTCCACTGCTTCAGTCATTATATAAAATACACAACCTTTACTGTACATATTCAATTTATTATACAAACATCTTGCTGGACTGCATACAACGTTCCAAGCCTTGTTCTGACATTTTGAACTCTGCAGCTCTGTTCAGTGGGTACTTTCATTCTCTGGGTACACCTGCTTTTGTGTGTATTATAAAAAACATCTGCCATAAAAGGAACTTTGTATCTGATTTTTCAGAAAGTACATGATGTAAAAGCAACTTTCACGTGTGACGAGTTTTGTGACTTTGAGGAAATTCTCTTTTTCGCTGATTTCAGAACTTATAGATTTCATAAAACGGAAATGGATTCTTCTTTAATTGACTGTGTGTGTGTGTGAGAGAGATAAAACGGTACGTGTTATGATTTGTTTCGTTTTTTAAAAAAAATTGGTGCAATTGTCTAGCAGTTCAAGGCACTGTAGGGGAAGTGAAGGAAATTAAATAGAGGCTCAATATATATAATAATAATAATCTTTGCATTTGATATAGTGCCTTATCACGACTTCAAAATGGCTCAAAGCACTTCACAGAATATATTGTAAAGTGACTTGATTGTATATTTTGTGGGAAAAACACGGTAGCCAATTGCACACAGCAGTGTCCCACAAACAGTTGTGGATTGAGTGACCAATTTTTTTTTTTGAAGGAATTATTACCACTGGAAAAGAGATCCGCCAATCGACTAACAACGGGGTTCCTACTTAGTGCTAGGTAAACAGAGGTGTGTGGAATAGGGCAGGAAACTTGCCCAACTTTTCGCCCTGCTGGGAACTGAACCCAGGTTACAATCAATACACAGGTTACCTGTGAATGTGAGCTTAGTGGTCATTAGATTTATTTTATGTACAGTTAGAAACATGAAAATGCCCCTGGACTGTGACATTTATTACAGTAGAATTAAAACAAGTAAAAATAATTCCTCCATCCCGTGTGAAAAGAAAGGTTTGCGGTTCACGGCCTCAAAGCACAAGTAGCTGCAAGACTTGAGTAAGGATATTTACCAGACTTTTGAAAACCAGGCTTTTGAAAACCTATATCACAAAACCATTGTGATATAGCTAATTAGACTTTCTATGCATTCATCTTGATAGCTGATAGTTTGAAACGTACAGTGCTTGCAGACTGACAAGAACAGAACACACTGCATTCAATACCTTCTTATCGTAGAGAAACATTTTCTTTCAGGGTGGCAAAGGGTTAGTAATTAATTGCTGCGGCATTATTTAATCGAACTGTAATTGTTTTTCCAACTTATCCAACAACAACAGAAGAACAACAAAAAAAAGACACAATTTGCGTGTCAGCGGAGGCAGATGTCTCGGATTCCTGCCCCGTAAGAGAACCAGCGATGAAACGTCACCGCCAATACTCACTCACCGCTCTCATTGGTGGAGTTGACAGAGAAGGCGCCGGACTCGGTGATATACTAACACTCTTGTTTAAGGCTCCCGGTGCTGGTGGGCGAAGTGCTGGACAGAGAGATCAGACCAGAGTCCTGACTACTGGAAGGTGAAAATACTGCAAGAAAAAAACAAAACGAGAATGTTATCTTAAGGTGAGAGCGAGCTGAGGCGAAGATAATAAACATCCTTACATTTGGTACAGCACCTTTCACGTTAAGGCCACCTCATAAAGCACTTCACAGGATTTACTGTAAAGTGTAGTGATTGTATATTATGTAGGCGAATGTGGCAGCCAACTTTCCACAAGCAGCCATGAAATAAACAATCAATTTTATCTGGGGGATTGTTGGCCAGGACACGCGGCAAAACTCCCTTCTTTTTTGAATAGTGCTATAGCATCTTTAACATCTACCTGAACAGGCAGACAGGACCTCGGTTTAACGCTTCATCCAAAGGATGGCACCTCCAGCAATGTAGCGCTCCCCCAGCACTGATTTGGAGCATCAGCCTAGACTCCATGAGTTCAAAGGTGCCAAGGTGGGGCTTGAACCCACAACCTTCTAACTCAGAAGCGAGAGTGCTACCAACGGAGCCAGGGTGACACATATCTCAATTGAGATCAGAAACATTTCGGCACACTAAGGCCAGTGGAAATGAGGAACTGTGCTATCCCAGAAGTGCCGTAGAGGCAGAACCGATTGGGATGTTTTTGATAGACAGATAGTCAGCCAGATAGATGAATACATACATCCATATATACTTGGGAAGCAATGGGTTAAAGACGTATAGGAAATGGTGAGAACTGGGATTAAAAGACCTGCTGTGATCCAATAAACTGGCAGAACAGGCTTGACGGGCTGAATGGCCTCCTCTTGCTCTAACCATAGTCTGAAATTTATCATGGTCAGTGGGCACTTTGTGAGAGGATTATCTGTTTGCCCCCCTCCCTCCCCCATTCCTCTGTAGATAATGTTAGTGCAAACATTGTGCAACGACAAGTTAAATGTTCAACCTTTCCGGAGAGCTGTAGAGGAGGAGGAGGCGTATGTTGAGGGTTTAAAGTCAGCTCCGGCACAGCTAAATAGGGGTAGCAGTCTATGGCTAAAGATCAGTATTATTGCTGTTTCTCTCATCAACAATATTTCTGGTGGCAAAGGGAGTAATGGGTCTGGCTTGCTGCAGGCACTAAAACTCAGCCCCTTGGCACTGTGGGGACAGATCGAGCCTGTCAGGACTGCTCCCTAACTAAACAACAAAAATCACCCAATCATGTGCTGAAGCAACAGCAACTGGCAGTGGTTTGAGAGCGCATCATTCTGTCTGGGAGCTGAGTGTCGTGCTGCCAGAACGTTCATGACAAATGGGATCATTTTTTAATGTCAACAAATGCCAGCGTTGATGTGTGGTTCAGTTCAACAAATGAAAAAATGCAGACGCCCTCACCTACTCACTTGTAACCTCTGTATTTCGTGACCTTTGCATTGTTTTTGCAAGTTATTAATAATAATCCCTGCACTTGATATAGTGCCTTTCACTTTGTTGAGATGTCTCAATGCTCTTTGCAGGATATACCGTCAAGTGGATTGACTCTTTTTTTTGTGGGGGCCAAACACAGAAGCCAATTGCGCACAGCATTGACCCAAAAACAGCCATGGAGTGAGTGAGCAATTTTATTTGAGGAATTGTTGGCCAGGACACCAGGAGAAACTCCCTTCTCTTTTCAAATAGTTCCATTAGCATCCACCTGAACAGACAGAACCTCATCTGAAGTTCTTGCTCTCCCATTGAAAAACTTGTCTTTCTTTCCCTTCACTTTCCCACCCCTCCCCTTTATTCTTAGTCTCTCCAAATCAAAACACATGATTCATTAACCAAGAACACAGGCAAGAGTGCTACACCAAGCTGCTGCTCAGCAGAACTCCGTGAGTTGGAATTGCCCTCTTTACCACCTGGGAAACCTTCTCCCCTTCCTGTGCCTCTCAGGTCCTGGTATGTGGGGACCTGTGGTCATTAACCAACAACTGTCGTAGGGATCATTGGACTGTGTCGCTGCCCCCTTCTCCCATTTGTTTCTCTCTAATTTTAGAGCAATTTTAAATATTAAAATAATACTTGCATTTGACAAAATGCTTTTCACATCAGGAGGACGTCACAAAAATGTTCACAGGATATACTGTAAAGTGCAGTGATTGAGTATATGTTTTGTAGGAGAACGAGGCAGCTGATTTGCACACAGCAATATCCCACAAACAGCCACGAAACGGAGTGACCAGTTTTATTTTGGGGAATTGCTTGCCAAGACACCTGGGGAAACCCATCTAAAAAAATTACAAAATGTTCACTAGACAGATTTGTAAACAACGGTCTATTTTGATTTTCACTGAACATTTCACTGAACTCTCTTTCGGCACCTGCTTTGAAGGGGTAAAGAGCTAGCCTACGATGGGGAGAAATTCTACTGGCTCTGGATTTACTCTATTTATGTAACAAGTGCTCTGGGACGCTATCCTGCATGAGGGGCACCACATAAATTCAAGTTATTGTTGTAACAATTTAGTGCATCGAACTGTTTAATTAAAATTTCTTTCAAGAACTACGGAAAAATAACTTAAAAATTAAGACCGAATTCAATAAATTGCCAAATTCTGGAAGCTCTATAAAGCCACATAAACCGAGTAAATCCACACCCAGGCGCTTTATCTCCCCATTGAAATCTTCTGCACGTTATCCAGAAACAATGGCGGTAACCCTGCTTTATTCCCACTTTCACACTGCAGCTCTACCAGTGACTGGGGCTTCCCATCTCACAGGTCAGCTGTTAATCAAACAGCACCCACTTATCTCGAGTTGCCTGTGGCTATACACTTTCTGCCGCCGGATCTGTCCTCAACCGCTATCACCGAGCTCAGCTATCGAACACTCAGCAGTGGTAATCTTACGGAAGTGGCGATGCATCGATTGCATCAAGTGAAACGATTATTAAGTGGTGATGTTCAGTGTTTCACGAATGCAAGGGACCTTTGATTTGAGATGGATTCCTTGTAACTCTGCTGGATGGCCATGAGCAGAGTATCAGAAGTGGAAGTGTGAAGACAGGTAGGAAACAAAGATGCTGACTGCATTATACCCCAACCCAGAGCTTGGGGTGGGAGTCCATAAAAAGAGAGGCCGTGTTATAATTGTGGAGTCCTGTAGAGTAGTGGGTTAGCTGCTCTCCTTGCAAACGAGAGGATCTGGGTTCGATTTCCTGGCGAGGCGAAATCTTAGGCAGGTTTCCTTTCTCCACAAATCTCTATTTACCTTGCAGTATGAACCCGGTTATTAATCGATTGGGGGATTGCTTTCGCCTACAAAATACATAGTCAATTCACTTTACAGATTATTCTGTGAAGCGCTTTCTTAATAATCTTTACATTTAGTACAGCACATTTCACACCAGGAGGATGTCTCATCGCGCTTCACAGGACTCACTGTAAAGACCGTGTATTTGGTAGGCGAACGTGAATATAGTTTGATCCCTTCATAACACATAGTTTGAGCAATGCTTGCAGTGCAACTACAATATAGATTATCTAAAATAAACATTGGCACCAGTCTCCAGCTTGTCCTTTCATAAAACAATCAAAGTTTTTCCAATGTGTAACAATCCTATACCGACCGCAACTGCTTTACGACTCTTTGAGGCATTGAAATGTCTCCCCAGCACTAACCCTAACTTTTAACAATTGGTACTGAGAGTAGTGGCTATTCACAAAGGGAACAAAAGATCCCCCGGCACAATTACAAGGCAGTAATCTGGCCGAGCCGAGATGATATCATATACCAGCAGAGTGAAGCTCAAGTGGTTTACAAGAAGCATTTGAATGACAAGATGATCGCTTTGAAATCAGTCACATCTTTTCTTCTGAATGATATACAGAGTTTATTTGCTTGATGTTTTCTTGAAGTGTTCACGCAGAAACCCAATGGCAGAAATGGCCCCCCGTGCTTGCAGTTTCTGTATCAGGGATTAACGATTGTGCCTGTTCAGTGGACGGCTGAACAATGCCCAATTGGGTTACCAATAAATAGCAGTCGGTATATATGAGGTCTTTTACAGATTGCTAAAAGATCTTCAAACAACCATATTTATGGCACTGTAAGGTTTAATTCTGCCACATTTCACAGTGAAGACCTTTCCCGCTCCTGCCCCCAGGTCTACCGTGCAATACCCCATCCCATCACGTGAGCTCCCCAAAGAATTAGGTAACTGACAGCTGCAGGATTAAGTGTAATTTCTGCTCCTACAGAGCAATCTAACCCAGTTTCAAGTGCAAGTTGCTGACGTTTTGCATCGAGGCCCATTCCTCAGCAGAGAAAACATCTGGCAGAACATTGGAAAGGAAAGCGTCCCATACCAGGTTTCAGGATCTGAATTATTTTAGTAAGTGGATTTGGTAGTGAATTGTACATCCTCACTGGCATATAATGTATGCCCATCCTTGCCAGGCTGCACTGGCTACCCATCTCCAAGTGCATCAATTTCAAGATCCTCGACCTCAATCACAAATCCCGTCACGCCCTCACATCTGTGATCTTCTTTAGTCTCACTCTTCTCGTCATCCCTTTCGCCTGGCAAACTCTGGCAACGCTGGACATTCCCCGTCCCATGATTGGAGTCTGAGCCATTGTGTCCTCACTCTCTGGACCTCTCTCCCTCAAACCCTCCATCTCGCCTCCTCCCCCTCTCTCTGTCCAGCTTCAAAACCACCTAAATACCTAGCTTGATGACAATGCCTATGGACACCTTCCTCCTCTCCTCGGTGTCTGGCACTGTCTCTGTATAGCACTCCAAGACGGGCTCAAAATAATGCAAGTTGTTGTTGTATGGCCACTGTGGGATGGATACATGAGAAGGGCCCAGGATGGTTCACCTGTTTTGTGCATGTGTGTGTGTGAGAGAGACAGAGATAAAGAGAGTTAGGGAAGTGTAGAAAGAGAGAAGAGTTTCATCCCAGTGGATCTCATATCTGTTCAGGAGTGGTATCTTCCCACTCTGTAAAGTCCGCTGCCTATTGATGTCTTATTTTAATGTTGAAGACGTACAAGAGCAGAGAATTACACAGCATGGCCATT